TGGAGGGAGGCGGCTCGACGAGAGGTGGAAATGGTCGCGAGGTCTATCGGAGAGAGAGACTCTCTGGCTCGCGTTGGCGTTGGCGTTGGCGTTGCCCAGACCAGAGGAGCGAGAGGCGGGAGTAATCAGTGGCGTGCAAGTCGGAGGAGGAGAAGGCGATGGAGGGGACGGCCGACCACGGTGGGGTCTTTCTACTTCTCGGCCTGCGCGCCTCGTGCCGCTGACATGCCAACCCTCTGCGCTTCGCCCTTCATTTAGAGGCAATAGCACCCCAGGTCCATAAACTTGCACCGAATGTGATGTTTTAGTTCAAAACTTGCAAAATGTGACTGAGGACTCCACAAACTTGACACCCTATATGATGTTTTGGTCCACAGCCACTCACAGCGTGCCATGTGGCAGTCCAGAGGGTGGACCGGTCAGCTCTGGCAATTTTGCACAAAGGCCCCTGCCGTTCACTCTATTCAACCCGCAGTTCTTACAGTTGTTGGCCCCGTTCCACACCCCACCTACCGTTGTTGTTCTGTTCCCCCACCCTACACCTACTGTTGTTGTCCCCCTTTCGCCTCCCTGTTCCCCATTCCCCATCCTCTCGCTCTCCCTCTTCCTCTCGCTCTCCCTCTCCCTCTGTCGCCGGCAGCCAGGCCCCTCCCCCACCACCTCCTTTGAACCTTGAACATTTGCATAGCTCGTGGCCATGGTTTCCTGGAGCGATTCTGGCAGTTCGTCCGACGCTGAGTCAGTCAGCAGCGAAGTGCAGGTTAGATCTCTTGCTCTGGTATGGTTAGGGTTTCTTTGGGTGTGCATTGTTAGTCAGCAAATGAAGCTGATTTTGTTATGTTTTAGTTACCTGCCACCATCTTGTGCTTGGAATGGAGCGGCCTGGCCACAGATCTGAGTTCAAGATGTGAGCATGAATGTGTGTGTCAGAAGCTGGTGGCATTTGATTCAGTGGATAGTGGGAGGAGATTCTTAGCTTGTGCACAGAAGGTTAGTTGCTGATTTTGCTTGTATCAGTGTTCAGTTAAGTTTGACAGTTCTGACAGTTAGATTAAGTGTGTATGTTTTCTATTTTTGACAGTTAGTTTCAGTGTTTAAGTTGCTTCTCTGTCAGTTAACTGAATGTTGTTATTTGTTGTTCAGCTAGTATTGAACTACTATTTTCATTGTACTGAATTTTTTCTTTTGTTGCAAATTTGTAGAACATACCTAAATGCAGCTATCTGGAGTGGGTTGATCCTGAGTGGCCTGCCCCTTTGAAGATGAGCCTAGCTAGGATCTGGGGCATGTATGAAGATGAGAACAAGCTGAGGCTCAAGGACAATGTGGTTCATGCTCAAGAGAATGTTAGGGTTGTGAGAGAGAAGGAAAAGATGGAAAGAGACTTGAGGTTTTTTAAGGTTGGTTTTGCTCAAATGGTGGCTGAGAAGGAGCAAGCTCTGGCCCAGCTAGGCAACACACAACTTGCTCTGACTGACATGAAGGAAGATCTTGATAAGAAGAAGATTTCTGATAAATCATTCACAACCATTCATCAAGTTGTCAGGGCCAAGGCAGAGAAAGAGAGGGACCTAATGAAGCAGGAGAGGGACAACATCATGAAAGAGAGGGACAATCTGGTGCAAGAGAGGGACAACCTGGTGCTGGAGAGGAATGTGCTGAAGCAAGAGGAGAAGAAGTTAGAGTACATGATTGGTGATCTTTTCAAACATAAGGAAGACACCAAGGGCAAGATAAGGAAGCTGAAAGAGATGCTTGAAGAATTTGAATGATGGTGTAATGTAATCATTAGTACCAGGTCCAGTATGACCTTGCTTAGTAGCAGGTCAAGTATGACCTTGCACTTGGAATTCCAGACTTATTTGTATTAAGTAATTTGACTAATTTGTGTACTGAATTACTCCCTCAATTTAAGTACTTTCAGTTAATTTTTGAATTGTCTTAATATTGATTTAGTGAGTTCACTAAGTTTATGACAGTTAACTTTTTCAGTTAACTTAATTTTTCATAGTTAACTGAATTTTTGACTGATTTGTTCAACTGATTTGTTCAAATTAAACTAGTTAACTGTCAATTAACTGAGCTTTGTCAGTTAATTGTATTTGTTCAGAGTTAACTGACAACTAAATTTTCACAGTTAACTGAATTTTCACAGTTAACTGAATTTTCACAGTTAACTGAATTTTCACAGTTAACTGAATTTTTTCACAGTTAACTGAATTTTCACAGTTAACTGAATTTTTAACTGATTTGTTCAACTGATTTGTTCAAATTAAACTAGTTAACTATCAGTTAACTGAGCTTTGTCAGTTAATTGTATTTGTTCAGAGTTAACACTACAACAAATATAACTAACTAAGTAAAGCATTGGATATTTGAACACCTAAGCAGCAACATTCAACATTCATAGCATAATTTAGCATAACTGACCATAGCATCATAGTTCACTGACCATAGCATCATAGTTCAACATCTTAGTTATCCCCAGCACCATAACATCACAAAATAACTTATATGCTCTACATATAAGAGCATACCTAAACAACATTGCCAAAATACTTAACTTATATGCTGCTCTACTATATCAGCATACCTAATCCTTCAAGGCTTCAAGGCTTCGTCTTCACTTGCCCTTCAGCATCTTCAGCCTCTCCGAGCGGCGCACCTCCCCATCTGCAGCTCTCTTGTTGCTTGCTTTCTTCTTCCCCTTCCTGACATGCACTTCTTCCTCTGCAGGCACCTTGTCCGCCTCGTCCGCCTCCTCTTGCTTGACGACGATGCCATCAGGCACATCCGGCAGTGCGTCCACGTCGATTGGGATGGTCACAGCCCGTGGTGCCATCTGCACCTCATCCGGTTCGTCGTCAGAGAGCACGATGACATCCACCTCCCACTCTTGAGACGACTCGGTCTCCGGGTCGTAGCCAGAGTCTGCGTCGGAGGTGAGGTGGTCGTACTCAGAGTCGGAAGACGAATCCGCGTCGGAGACATCATCGGGAAGGAGGAGGTCAGGCTGAAACCTGTCCCAGTACGCCCTGTTGATTGGCACGGGGACGGCAAGGGCGACTTCACGCACGCGCTCCGCCCTGGAGGCGACACAATTGGGATCGTCCTGCTGCGGCGACGCCTTGGCGGAGCGATACATCCACCAGCGGCGCGCTGGTCCGGATCATCAGACCGTGTCTCCCCCATGGCGAATTGTATGATCTTCGCCGGATGGACACCGACGACGCCGTGATTGCCGCTGGGCATGGCGCGATGCTTCTCGTCGTCCGTCATTACCTTGACGAGGCCGCGCGCGTGGTTCCTCATCATCTGGATGCTCGGGAACCAGCGTGCGATCTCCTGCAGCTCCGCCCGCGCCGCCTGGTCGTCGCCGGCCAGATCTTCGACGGCCCTCTGCAATCCGAGGCTGCCGTCCATGGCGTCGGCGGCGGCTTCGACCTCCGACGAGGTTTTCTTTGGTGGCGATGAGATGGAGGTGGGTGGGTAGCGCAAGCACCGAGGAGACGAGGGAAGTGGGGAGTGGGCGACAAGAGCGGTGGGTTGCCGTATTTAAGACAGGTGTGAAAACTGAATCGTCGGCCCGTCGAAAAACTGAATCACGGTCGGTTGCCGAATTACTACAACAGTGGCAGCAAATACACCAAACCACGACAACTACTCTACTGGCATTGCTTCTAGCTTACCAAACCCACGGTCCTGGGTTCGAGACCCAGGCCGAACATTTTTTTTGTTACACAAAATTAAGTTGAATGTAGGCCAAATAATGCAGTTGAATGTAGGCCAAATAAGTAAGTTATTTCTTTTGAAGTTTATTTAACTTCATTGAACATATCTAACTGACAGTACTTAACTGAATATTGCTAACTGACATTACATAACTGAACTTAGGTAACTGACAGCAGCTAACTGAACCCAGCTAATGTGATGTAGGGCAAAACCCTAGGTGGATGATCTTTCACATTTGGAGGGATCCCACGGGAGAAACACGAAGAACACGCGGAAGCACAAAGGGGAAATCACGGGGAGGACGAGAGAGGATCACGAAACCAACAAAGAATAGATCACACGAGTGCTAGATCACCGAACACACAGAGATGCATATGATCCACAATCAACAAAGGTAAGGATACAAAGGAGAGTTCATCTCCTAACGGAGGTCTTGATGGTCTTCCCTAGAAAGGGGTCTTGAATCCGCTTGGGGGATCTTCTCCGAAGAGGTCCTGAACTCCGAGGAGAAGTATCCAAGTGGATGAGCAAAGGCTCTCTCACAAATATGAGCTAATCCAATGCTACCCGTACAAGGAGGTGGGGGTGTCCTATGTATAGTCTTAGTGCAAATGGAAGTAAAAACGAAGGGGTACAAGGGCTCCAGCCCACAGGTTTGGTCACTCAGGAGTCGGACGTCCGGAAGGCGTCGGACGTCCGGAGGCTCGTGACGGTCCGGTCGTCCGGGCGGGCTCGGACGTACGGTGTCTCAGCTCGGGTGTAGGCGCGTCGGTCGTCCGTAGGGGGTCGATCGTCCGGGGCTTCAGGAGGGTCCGGTCGTCCGGGCGCTCCCGGACGTCCGTAGTTTCGGTTCTGGCGCTTGGCGTCCGGTCGTCCGGTCCGCTCCGGACGTCCGTAGATTTGGTTCGGGTGACAAAGTGTCGGACGTCCGGAGGGTCCGGTCGTTCGTGTCCTGGGACTCGTCGGACGTCCGGACACTGTCTTATCTTCAATGGCCTTAGCTCGGCCTCGTGTCATGGGTCCAAGTGGTGTTGAGGGAGATGTAGGCACGTCCATGGGGATGAGCGAGGGATGCTCCGCATCATC